ACTTTTAGCCTATTTTACTGTAAGGAAATAAACTTCTCTTTGTTAAAACCATCCACTTGTGGTATTTCTGTTATAGCAGCACTAGATGACTAAGACAGGAGGCTTTTGTCTGCCGAGTAGGTAGGAGCACATATTCCTATGCTGAACATTTCCAGTACAATACACTTCATGATGAAGTTCTCTGAATTGTTGCTTTCTATTCTTTTGTACTTCCTAGGCCCACACCTAATTCTTATCAGTCTTAGAAAACAGGCATCGCCAAGGTCATAGGTTTTGGATTCATGATTATCCCTCACCAAGGCCGTTCCAATCACCAGCTGCTTTAAGGGCAGGTAACATGCGGCACAACGAGCTGTGACATGGTGGCATGAAGCACCTATCAGGTACCGGTGATTTACAGCAGTCAGCTTTACAATGAGCAACTATGGTTGGGGATTACCTGAAAACAAATCAGTCTCTCTCCAAATCCATCTTCCCAAACTGTGAAGCAAAGCACTCAGGCAAATCTCTCTAGGGATCTGAATTCCAAAATTCCATGTGAGATAGCTCATATAATTCCCTTCTGCAATACAATCAACATGAAAGCAAGATAAGGACAGTTTCTAAAGAGACACTTACCTGTATTCTCCAAATGTGGCTGTAGGATAATGTTGAAACACCAGTGTCACCCAAGGGAGAATAGCAGCTAGTGCAAGGCCAGCATCTGGGGGTCATGTCCCCTGGTCCAGTCCAACTTCCTGACATCCTTTCCGGTCACAGAGCAAGGGGGGAAGGCCACTGGCTATGCTTATCCCCTGAGGCATGGTAGCCTGGCTGAGGATTTCCCAGGGAAATGTTGCTTTGCCCTTGCAGTTTTTGTACAGGTCTCTGTGGGTTTTGTAGCACGGTGCGTATCCTGCCAATCACAGTGCTACAGAGCTTTACAAAAACCTCCCTTTGGTTTCGCACTACGTGGGCTCTGAGAACATCTGAGGCCAGATGTTGTCTCTAAGTTAAGTGGCAACAAAATCAAAGGGTTTTGGCAGTTAGCTTCAGGGCCGGCTCATTCAGGTGCTTCTGTCTGGGGCCCTTTTGCCCTGCTGGCCAGGCCTGCCCTGGTGTTTGTGACTAGAATGGACTTTTAGAAATCACCATGTCCACTCCATCTGTGCTTTCTGGCCAGCCTGCCTTCAAACGGCTTCCCACAGAGGAGTTTGTCAGATATCTGAATATCTCATGTGGATTCTACATGCTGTGGATTAGTCAGAAAATGTTTGTGGTCAACATAATTTCTCCTGTCACCTGCAAAACTTCTGTCTCACCTCTGCCAGCCCCGCTTTACACTCGAATAGTGGTATGCAGTTTACAAAGGGCTTTCACATAAATTTAAAATTTTATCCTTTCCGTTGGCTCTCTAGTTGCTAAATTCAGGGCCAGTAGCCCATATGGTGCTTTTTGTGTTTTGGAAAAATCAACCCCACTGGGCGAATGCAGAGGTAGGCCCTTGGGTTCAAGTTTGGCAAACAGATGTCATCTTTGTGTGCTTTGTGTGCTTTGTGTACCTTTATAAAAGGTAGCCCTTTCTCCAGCTAGATGCAGCTCCACATGAGGGCCTTTGCTCAGCTGGCAGAGCATGAGCTAAATTTTAGCCTCACTTGTCTCCTCTGCTGAGTGCTCTTGTGCAAGACACAACCTGTGCAACCGGAGGCAGTGGACCTGGCCAAGCTCAGCTGATGATTTTTAGTTGTATTCTTGTCTGACCTCTGATTTTTTTTTTTTGGGGGGGGGACACAATTTAATCCATAACAACAGCCAAGTAGACATAATCCATTTCACACATGTTCTCAAGATAAAAGACAAGAAGTCCTCATATAAAGGAGCCACTCCACAGCAATGGGTTTTTTGTTGTTGTTGTTAGTTCTCAATAAGGGGCCTTAACAGCATCATTTGTCACACATTGCTGCTGTGTGCCACTGAGTCATTTCCAACTCATAGTGACCCTATAGGACAGAGTAGAACTGCCCCATAGGGTTCCTAGGCTGTAATCTTTAAGGGAGCAGATTGCCAGGTCTTTTCTCCCTGGAAGCCACTTGGGGTTAAAACTGCCGATCTTCAGATTAGCAGCCGAGCACTTTAACCACTGCACCACCAGGGCTCCTTTGTCACACATTGTTTATCCTGAATTCACCTGGTTATTGGGGTGGCCACCAGTGTTTGTTAATTGCCTTTATCCAAAGAAATAATAAACTCCTCGTATCTGTATAAGAGGAAGTAGTTTACAGCTTGGAGCCAGCCGAAGTTAGGCTCTTAGCCTCCCCAGAGCTGACCTCTGATTTTTGACAGTCATTCCCTTCTGCTTGAAAACTTTTTCCTGGGCTCCCAAGACGCTGGTTTTTGTTTGCCTTTGATCTTTGCGTCTATCACTGTGAAAATGAAACAAAACAATAAGCTCCTTGAAAATGACCTTATTAAGCATTAATCCTTAAAGGAGAGTGTGAATTTTTTTTTGTTGTTGTTCATCAAAAGGGAGCAGGTTGAGCTTCACACTTTCCCTGGGGGATCATATCCAAATCTATGGCTTAATTTAAGTATCACATTTTACTTGGGATCCTTTGTGACAGCTCCCTCCCATCCTACGTATACCTAACCGCATGCCTGCCCCATAAACTCCAAGCAGCTTCATCCCATATACGAAGTCTAACATTCTTTTACTGATTGAAAACAAAACAAAACAGGAAAAGAGTAACAGATAATGTGACAAGGGTGGCTTACATAGAAAGTAGGCAAAAAAGTAGGGGCCAGATGAGAATAAAAAATGGTAACTTGGACTCTTGAGTATAGCTAATTTTAGCTGCTAGTCTTGAAATGGCAAGAGGTAAGTGGTTACTCTTTGAATAACAAGTAAAACTTCTAATTAGCCCATGAGATTCACTGACTCCTCCTAATCCTGGTGTACAGACTTTCACAAGCAGCCATCAGAAAGTAGTCTGAATAGAACTAGCTATAGGGAAAAGAGTCCTGGTGGTGCAACAGTTAAGTGCTCGGGTCTAACCAAAGGTTGCTTGTTTGAACCCACCTAGTGGCTGCAGGGGAGAAAGACCTGATGATCTGCTCCCATAAAGATTACAGCCTAGAAAATCGTATGAGGCAGTTCTACTCTGTCACACGGGGTCATTATAAGTTGAAAAATCAACTTGATAGTACCCAACAACAACAGCTATAGGAAACAAAAGGTTGGGAATGAAAAGGCAGTGAAACTCTGGAGTAGTATCAAAACTTAAGTCTCTTGGTGGTGCGAAGGGTTAAGTGCTTGACTACTAGCTGAAAGGTTGGTGGTTTGAACCTACCCAGAGGCACCTCGGAAGACAGGCCCCGTTATCTACTTCTGCAAGGTTACAGCCATTGAGAACCCTATGGAGAAGTTCTACTCTTCACACATGGGGTCACCATGAGTCAAAATCAACTAGACAGCAACTAACAACAACAATCAAATTTTAAACCATGCAACCCTGTGGGTGTGGGACAGAGTTTTGGGGTGATGAGCCCTCACGAAAGTGTAGCAGTTGTTGCTCCCAACTCTTTGCCCCCTCTCTGTAACTGAAGTATACATCTAGGCTCTTTGCCAAGTGACTTTGCAGGGCCTCCTATTATAGCAGGCAGAGTATACATCCTTCTCCATTGACTTTGGGGCTTGGCCCTGCTTGGATCCATAGAATATGGGTGCAAGTGACTCAAAACTTATTATCTCTCCTTAATTAGGAGAAGACCTTTGAGAGAAGGGATTTTTCTTATTCATCTCTGTCTGCCCATGCCAGCACAGTGCTGAAATGTCTTCTGAATCCATGTAAAGGATGAAGTAACACAGGTTCAGAGAGGATAAGCTAAGAAGTGACAGAGCCATGGCCAGAACCCACATCTTCCCAATTCCTAGTCCCTTCCTCTGTCTCTGGTACCAGGCTGACTCACAGAAGACTAACTTATATTTGTCTAGTGGTACAAATTACCATTAGTTGTACAACAGATTGATTTTTTAGCATTAGCCTGAGTTAAGCATCACTGGGAAGATAAATTTGTTGTGATTTGCTCCACACAATGTAATATATTCTAAAGCCAAATGGAAATGAGTTTCACATTGTCTGTATCTCTGGATTATTCTAATCACATTCTCCTCCACTAACATGGGTATTCAAGGATCAGTTATGCCTCTGGAGAGAAGCCCTAGAATATCACAGCTGGGAGGGACTTCAATGATCATACATTCATTCCCGTGGTTTTCGAATGAGAGAGCCTAGAAATATCCAAAGAAGTTTTGCAACTTGGCCAAGGCACCCAACTTTAAAGGAACATACAAGAAATCTG